CACCATCACCATCACCATCACCATAATCATCATCGTCATGGCCATCATCATCGTCATCATCATCATCATCATCATCACCATCATTATCATCATCATCATTTTCATCTTCTTCATCATCTTCATCATCATCATTTTCTTCTTCTTCATGACCCTCATCATCATCATCATCATCATCATCACCATCCTCCTCATCACTGCTATAGTCGTCACCACAACCGTCTTCCCGATGATCATCATCCTCTCGTCCTCACCGTCCTTCGTTCACGTCATGGCCGTCGTCGCCATCATCTTCACTAGCTTTTCCATCAGCGTCATTTTTTCAGAGTCATTGTCATCCTGGTGTGTATCGTGATCTCCGTCGTCTGCTTCAGGAGAATCATCGCCTGCATGTGCGTCATCCTGTGATTTCCGTTGTCGCACTCACAGGCACAGCGAAACAACAAGCCAGCTCCATAACCATCATAGGAGAATATTTGGCAGAGAGTGATCGCAGCAGAATGGCGCCAGTCGGGCGACTGTTAGGGGTTGCGGGATGTCTGTGGCATGGGACCCAAGGGATACTGTCTGCGGAAGCAGCGAGTGAAGCACCCCCAACGTGATCAGGCGACAATCAGTGGCCAGATCATCGTCAAGAATCAGCATGGCTACCTCCCAGCGAACGAGTGGCCCGAACGGTCTTTCAGCAAGGGTCTGTGTCAGTTCTCTTGCTTGTCCACCGGGCGTACTTCATGCAGATGCTACAGTTCCTTATTTTGCAGTTGACGGGTTGCGCATTGATTATCTTCGAATGCGGTCACTCTGACTCAGCAAATGGTTCGGCGTGATGCCGATGTGTCCGTCAAAGATTTCGTCGGCAGGATGTGCGAACATTCATATGTTTGTGCAGGTACAGCAAAATGCCTTTTTATGGCATTTCCGGCCTCGTCTGCAGTGGGCTATTCGTCGTCTGGGTGCTGCTGTGCGTGCGGTGGTGGACCGATTTGCAGGGTTCGCTGCAATCGCATGCCTACCCCACTTGACAGTGACATGCTTTGTTAGCTGTGGTAAGTAGGTCGGTCGTCGCAACAGGAGCAATAGCAGTAGTCGTCATGATAGTCGTGATGGATCAGCACCGGCAGCAGCATCAGCAGGAGCATCACCAGCAGCACCGGCAGCACCACCGCCACACTGAGCCGCGTTCTCTTTTGATGACCACTTACAGTACACTAAGGCTTCTCCCGCCACCTAGCCAGTTTCTTATTTGTATCGTCATTCTCACAGCCTTTTGGTTGGTTCTTGATCTTCGAGCTATGGTGTGTGTTGCGATTATTGCTGCCACCCTAAGGCTTCTGCGGTGGACAGAAATCCGGGCCCGACGGGCCTAAATAATTACCAATGCAATTTTGGGAGTTCCTGGCTTATTATAGTTATAGTTATAGTATGGTATACCCCAACACCCGATTCTTTTTAGTACTGCCCCTATATTATAAGCACTGAAACCACCAAGCGGGCCCCATGAACTGTCTTAGTCTAGCTGATGCCGTATCAGAAACCAACCCTCTGAGGCACATAGACCTTCCAACCCTGAAGGTTGTTACAGTTTCGTTACGAAGCCAGGGCTCCGGCAAGGAACGCATCGCCCGAAACATAATATAGGGGCCTTAATAATCAGAATAGGGTTCGAGGGTATATTATATTATCTAATTCTAATAAGGAACCCCCCCAAAATCCTATTTTAATTATCAAGGCCCCTACATTAACTCCCCTTGTGTATGATTCCTCTAAACCTAGTCCAAGAACAGAGCTTTAAATCTGGGCGTAGGGTTCGTCTTATGCCAGACAGCTTTATATGGGTAGTTCTCTAAACCAGTGTCCCGTTGTAGGTTCCCAATATACTGCGCCGCCCGTGTAAAAGGGACCCTAAAGAGACCCCAATGTAGAGCACTACCCAAATGCACTGTCCCGTTGTGGGTCCCCAATCTACTGCTCCACCCTTATTAAAAGGACCCTCAAGGGACCCTAATGTAGAGCACTACCCATATGCACGTGTCTTTCAGCTCAGAGCTCCCCCTGTTTCAGGACGCAGCTCTTCAACATCCACCTTTGCATTGCTGCGGTCTGCTTCCTGGCAGTAGCCGAGTCTGGAATCTGGTACCTCTTCCTGATAGACTGGAGCCTGGGCCAAACCTGCCCAAAACCTACGTTTTTTTGGGTCCTTATACATTCCATATCCGCGTTTCTAGAAGAAAGATTCAGAAATCGGGGCGTAACCCTAAATCATCAACCGGTAGCCTTCAAACATAGACTGTAGACACTAGAGCCTATAGGCGAGAGACTCTTTTGATTGCGCGTCAAGCAATGTCGAAACCCCCTGAGAGGAACAGCAGCGGCATGCACAGCAACTTCCTTTTTGCCTCTGCCGTCGTCTGCTCCGTGACGAGGTGGCTTTGGGTTTCCGGAAAACTCACTGAGGTAGCAACTTGTGACACAGTAGCGCTGGCAGTATATTCATGATACTAAAATAATGGATGCTAGTGTTTTGTTTATGGCCAACTCAGTGAATCAGTGAAGTATCAGAATCTGTATGGGGCGGACGTATGTTGACGTTTTTGCGCAACTCGCACTTTCCTTCCTGGCCTGCGCAAGCAACCTCAAAAGCCCTGGGCGCTTCATGGCCCAAATCCTAAAGTCCCTACAGCCCTTGAGCCCTAAACCGTGACACTTAAATTGGCACTGAGATTAGTCAGAAGGCTTCTCCCAATCTTCACAGTGTTCTCATCGAGCCGTGGAGCACAAACAACAACAGTTTGCAACAAAACCACTAAGGAGGCCCTTCGGCCGAAGACATCGCTAAGCACAAACCTTACATATGCTGGTTTAGGGTTTAGGGTTTAGGTTTAGAACTTAGGGTTTAGGGTGTTGCAGAATTTGTAGGAAGGACTCTTCCTTAGAGTAATGAAGCGGAGGTCTTGGGGGTAGTCGCAGGTCATAGTTTGGGGTTCAGGGTTCTAGATCCTAGAAACCGCCGCAAACACCTGAGACCATCCTGATACCCTAAAATCCACCTCCGGCCCAATGCCACCCTAAACCCCAACCCCTCAAATTTGCGGAGGTCGACAGCCTCTTACATGCTGGTACTACTGGCCTGCCTGGGTTGGGGAGTGACGAAGCCTATCCTAGACGGCTCCACCATTTGCCGAATCCTCTGCCTGTCTTTCATCTACATCGTGCTCAATGTGATCCGGGAGATCGTGTCCCTTGGCGGGCTTTTCCTTTGCAACCAACATATGGGTAGTTGTCAAAATTATGGTCCCTTGTGGGGTACCCTAAATAATAGGTGCCGTATTATAATCGGACCCAAAAAGGGACCATAATTTTGACAACCACCCATATGAGAGCTAGATCCCAAAGCCCGAACCGCTAGGAAGCCTGTGGTGCTAGCAGCAGCAGTACAGACCTGCCTTATGGGCGCGTCGAAACGTCTTGAGCCTGTAAACCCAGAAATTCACTGTATCGGCGGCAGGGTTTGAAGGTTTGAACCAAAGTTCCCTGTAGGCTTTAGGACTTTAGGGTGCAAGCGTTCTTTAGGGGTCTGGAAGCCACCATCAGGGCCTCATTGCTTGTCGGGTTTAGAGCTGCGCCTACTACTAGTCTAGGAAGAAGGCTTTTGGACTGTGGCTTTCATCACCTCCGGCTGGAGTTGGGGGAGTCTTAGTGGCAGAATTCATTTGGGAGTTTCCGAAGTCAGAGGTACCTTACTTTGGGGTCCTTATAATAAGGATCCTACTATTTAGGGTACTATATTAGGGTCCCCTATTTTCTGAAACCCCCATTTCAGTCCTGGATGCTTTCCGGGAGAGGCTCCCGCCCTGCCTGTGCGAGGAATCCATGGGGGGATGGGGATGGTGATGTTGTTGTGAGCGCTGAGCGCGCCGATGACATTGATCATAGGGTTTAGGGTTTAGGGTTTAGGGTGGAGATGAACATCACTTCAGTCATCATGTGGTTGATGGCGGTTCACGTGAACGATGCTTATGCTTGCAGTGACTTTGAAGAAAGTGATGCCGGCGAGGGCTAGTGTGGATGGCATCGACACAGTTTCCAAATTCCATCTTTCTGTTGAACCGTGCCGGATGGTGATGATGAGCATGCTGGTAATGATAACTTACATAATGGAGGCGCGCAGGCGCGTCTGGAGATTGCATGTATTTCTACAGTGTTTTCGAACACCAGAAAACGCCGAGGATGAGGATGATGACGATGACGATGACGATGACGATGACGATGATGATGATGATGATGATGACGATGATGCTGACGATGATGATGGTGATGATGATGATGATGATGGTGTGCTGAAGTGATGATTGATGGAGGTGGTGACGAAGATGCTCCTAAGGATAGATGTTGAACCATATGAGGAACGGGATGATGCTGAGTAGGATGATCGGGATGGTAGAGCCGATGATGATGACCCTCAAAAGCCTTGGCCCCAGAACGTACTGTCTTAATGTAGGGGCCTTCAGTATTCGAATAGGGTTTTGGGGCAGATTATACCATAATACTACAAAAAGGAACCCACCAAAATAGTACTGGTAACTATTTAGGCTCCTATATTTCCCTGAGCCCCGGACCGGCCCCTGTCCAGGTTGGCCTACAGTCACTCCCAGGCCATTCCCATTCCATTTGTCCTACTATGCCTCGTGCCCGTCTCGATTCTGAATGGCGGCATTTTCTATTGGCCCCGTGGCGCACGGTTTAGGGTTTAGGGTTTAAGGGTGTTTAAGGGAATGCAGTTTGAGGCATCGGCAACCTATCCTTAGCAGACCACAGCTCAATACACATGTTCAAAGGGTTCGAAAGTTATAGTAGCGCCATCAGAAGTCGTTTTGTCGCGGACGAGCTGTGGTCGGGACAGGGGGTCAGACATCATCAATCGCGTACTAGAATCACAGAATCCTGCATTCTTGAGCCTCAGCTACAATGTAAACCCTAAAACCTAAACCCTAAACCCCTAAAGCTAGACCCCTAAACCCTAAACCCTAAACCCCTAAACCCTAACCACTACACCCTAAACCCCTAAAGCCCAAGCCCTTTTTGCGCTGCCCTCAGAAGTAGGTGCAGGGTTCTCTGCTGCAAGTTTGTACAGTTGTAACATCCATGTTCATACGCTTTCTAGTATTCTGCATTCAGCTGTAACCCTGCTTCGCGACTCGCTCAGCCCTAGACCCCTAAACCCTAAACCCCGAAGCCCTAAGTCCCTAAACCCTAAACCCTAAGCCCCTAAAGCCTAAACCCTAAACCCCTAAAGCCAGAACCCCTAAACCGCATTTCAGGCAACCCTAGGGTCCAACCGAGGAAACCCTGAGGGGTATTTTGTGGTGTAGGGTTCAGGGTATAGTCTCCGTTGTAGTTCCTTTTTAGGGTTACCTTAAAGGGTCCCAACTATAGTAACTATAGAATTGGTTAAACCGAGAAAAGGAACTACAATGGAGACCGCAGGTAGGGTTTAGGGTCCAGGGACAAAATGCCGAGCATTTGTTTCGAAACAGGGTCCGCAGTAGGGCTTCTCGGGCCGCTGCAATCACAAGCATCGTAGCAAAAGACCAGTGTTCACAGTGTTTTTGCAGCTCAGATGCTTCTGTGCAGATTGAAGCTCAGCTTTTGAGCTAAGTTTAGTAGATGATGACGGCCATAGAGACGTCTGAATAACTACTGCCAGTATTCCCGAGGGTTCCTCGGTTTTCGTAGACGTCTCGTATTCCCAACATCCTATTCTACTTAGCCCTAAACCCTAAACCCTAAACCCTGAACCCTGAACCCTAAACCCTAAACCCTAAACCCTAAAGCCTAAACCCTAAAGCCTAAACCTATCATTCGCAGAAGGGAGCTAGGGAGGCCCTGCAGTTCTTGCCGACACTCCTCTCTTGCTACTCAAAGACTCCAATATCCCTTAATTAAGGAATATACCTTAAAACATATCAGGGTTCCTTCTACTGTTTAAGGTATATTCCTTTCTTAAGGAATATATCTCAAATTATAGAAGGATCCCTAATATGATTTAGGGTATATTCCTTAATTAAGGGATAGTGGAGTCTCTGGGTACTATGAGGCGCTTCTACGACCCTCGGCTCTCTGAGCATCTCTCAACTCTTAACCTCTAGGCCCTAAACCCTAAACCCTAAACCCTAAACCCTAAACCCTAAACCCTAAACCTTAACCTCTAGGCCCTAAACCCTGCTTGCACATGTTCGCAATCAATCGGAGACATTGCAGCGAAGATGGGCTTTGAGGCGGGTGCTGTGAGGAAAAAAGCGATCAGATTCGGATGAGGTGTTTGGTCGTTAAAAGCGGCACAAGATGCACAAGGCTGTGTGGACATCTTTTTGGCAATGTGGTGAGTACATTGCTTCACGGGCCCAAGACATGCGTGGCACAGTTGTGTAACAGACTGGAGCAACAGTTTGACGGCGGGAGCCGACTGTGACCTTCTCTTCAATTCGGCCACACAGCAGGTCTTTGAGATCGCCATGTCGTTGCGAAATCACCGAGCAAGTTTGAGAATCACCTTCGGGCTAAGCTTCGCAAACGAGCGTAGGACCTCGCACAGATTTGCAGTTCAGGTTTGTAGTAAAACCTAGGGGCCTGCATAATTAGCAAAACTATTCCTCTGTGCTCCCTTATGCATCTTTAAATTGCACAAAAACCCTTAGACTATTTACCCATAGGCCCTAAAGTAGTTCCTTTTTGGGGTTCATATATAGAATCCTATAAGGTAACCCCAAAAAGGAACTACTATGGGGCCTATGGGTAGGCTTCAGGGTTGACAGCTGAAAGAATCTGGTGCTCAGGCCACGTCACCTTCGAGGAGGGCACAGACGTGGCCCGCGTGCGCCTGCACTTCTTGGTGATAGAAGGGATGTTTCCCAAAGGGTCTAAGTACTTATTTCGTAGATATTTTGGGCCCCAAAGTATTTACCATATAAGTACTTAGACCCTTTGGGTTTGTCGTTGAACATCACCTCGCAACACAATGACCATTGCGTAGTCTGCTGGAGACTTATGTGGGTAGTTCTCTGAATTAGGGCCCCATTTAGGTCCCCAATATAGTACAGCACCATTACAAAAAGGGACCCTAAAAGGGACCCTAATTTAGAGAACTACCCATATTGTGTACCATAATTTTCGGTCTCAGAGCAACCCCACTTCTCCACCCTCCGCAGTTTCTAGGCCCAATGCGATTTGTTTCCCTTATAAGGGTCCATGTGCCCAAATAGTATATACTTTGGCTATAAAGTAGTCCCTACAAGGGCACTTTGGGGCCGAAGTAGATACTATTTGGGTACATGTACCCTTATAGGGTTACATATAAGAAACGACAGACCTCAGGCATGCTCAGACTAAGACGAGCTTCAGCTGATTTCAAAAAGTGTCAGGATGACACTAACGGTGATCTCACACGAAACCGTACGGCTTAGCAGAGCACCCGTTAGAGTCGATGGTGTCGGTAACGTGATGCCGATTTTCGTTCTCTAGTACCCTAAGGGTCCATATATACTACCATTACGGCCATAATGGTAGTATATATGGACCCTCTGGGGTAGCAGAAGTAAGTAAGGCGTTTTCGGCCTCTGGTTCCTTACAAACGTGATGCTTTGGATTTACGAAGACACATATGCGCAAGGTGAGCGGTGTGCAGATCTTTACCTTTACTTGAGGTTCCGACCATTGAAGCTTTCGGCCTATTCTGTGTGGATGCTTCACAGCTCTGGGGCTTCAGTTGCCTAGTTTTAGTTGGGTGAGAAGATGTCCCCAAAGGGTCCACATATACTACCATTATGGAATTAGGTCCCAAAAGACCATCCCTTTAATGTTTTTGGGGACCTAATTCCATAATAGTAGTGTATATGGACCCTCTTGGTTAGTTGGCGAGAAGATGTCAGGCTCTAACTATGCGGCAAGTGGCCCAGTCCAAAGCAGCTCCTCAACACAATTCTCGATTCTGTAGGGCTTAGGGTTTAGGGTTTAGGGTTAATTCTCGATTTTGTAGGTTCGTGGTATTTGTGGCACATTCTTACTACTTAAGGGAGCGGGCTTGCAAGACTAGCCCGGATAAACCTCTTAAGAAACAAAAAATTCCCCACCTGCATCCCCTAAGAGCCAGTCCATGGCCAAAAGGATTCGATTCCGAATATTACCCTTAAGCCTTGTGGTTTAGGGCTTTGGGTTTAGGGTTTAGGGCTTAGGGTCGAG